TCCGAGCTTGGCTTGAATGGGAAGCTATGCCTGTGCCCTTCATCCGATCAAAAGATAGTTCTATTGCAACCTGTAAGTAAGTCCAAGAGCGCAAAATTTGATATTCCACCATAAGATGCATGCCAATTTATTAAGATTTCAGTGGATTACTGTGGTTGGGGTCGCTTTGCCACCTTGGCGAAACATTGCACCAGTAGCACGAACCCCCCACCAAGTTGCGAAGCCCGCGCATGTGTGATGTCCAAACAGAAGACCTCGGGTCCTTCAGGCTGCGCAAACCGAACGACCCGGGTGAAGTGATTCCGTGAGCCGAAGAGCTCCTAACGAGACGTCGGTGCGGGTGAGCACGGTGCCGCGTGGCTGTTGGAAGAGGTTCAAGTGGGCAGAACATGTGGCCTTCCCCAGGGGAACTCTGTTTTCTTCGATCCGTGCGTGGCATGTGGCATGACGCCCGCCTTCATCCATCGGATGCCGCTGCGTTCGTGACCGGGATTTCAAGCCTGAGCGACTTGGGCGATTTCACGTTGACTTCTGTTCGTCCACGCCGAAGGTTTTGGGCCACAGAGGCACCTGATTTTGGACACCTTTTTGGCTCCTTGGGATCAGACACCTTTTTGCGCACATGGTGAGCATCGAAAGTCCAGACTTTTCTGCTCCATCGGTGCAACCCACCCGCTTGCACAGAGATCTTGCTACGCCGCGTACGCCTTGGCGCCGACCTCGCCTTGTTTTGGTGAGGGCGACGGGCTTTGCACAGGTCGGGGCATCAGCTGGAGCACAGTGCATTTGCCGGTCTGCACGATCCAGGATTTGGAGGAGGCGTGGCACCGACTGGAACTTTTTCGTGTAACCGGCTGTATGCTTTGGAGAACAGCTTCAAATGACATCCGTGACGGCAGGTTGCCTTGTTGCAGCCAGAAACCTCTCCCTTTGTGAGGAGGACGGCTGTGGTTTTGGGCGAGCTTGTTGAAACCACTGGCCAACCTAGCGGGAGAGCACCCGTTGAGATGCACTTTCATTTGGCTCGTGGGGGTTTGGCTTTCGCCGTCGGTCGTCGGTGAGAAGACTCGATGAGAATCATTCGATGAGAATCGTGTTCATGACTCTGACCACGGATGAAACACATGTAGATCGCAACCGATGAAACATCATTTGAAACTGTCTACTGACATTGTGCAAGACATCTGAAAACTGTTGAATACATGACTTCTGCTTCCTTCGATTTTCGTCTACTGAGACACCCTGCGCAGGACAGGTAGCCAGAAGCTTCGCAGGCTAGCATGTCGATGGAATGGACCGCTCAAAAGACATTGACATGGAGCCTTGACTTATCTATATCTATATCTATATCTATATCTATATCTATATCTATATCT